AGGAAGCCATGGGGGGAGGGGGGGCAGCCCTAAAGGACCCCCCCTTCTCCCCCCCCCTTTAGCCCACCTGGAGGGGCAGCCCAAGCGGGAGCCTCCCTCCTCTAAGCGGCCCCGCCGGAGCTTCCCAATGGGCGCCACTCCGGAGCGGCTCCGGTGGGCCCAACGCGGGTTTCGGGGGGGGACACGGGACGAGGGAGGCCTCCCTTACCGGAACCGGGGCCGCCAAACCCGCCGACCGAGCCCCGCCGTCCTCGGGCCCGTCCGGGAAGGGAGCGCGAGGCCCCCGCGGCAGCTGCGCCCAAGTCCGGGCCCGCCCTGCGCAAGGCGCACGTGGCTGGGGTGGGACACGTGACCGGGTGGGCGGGGCGGCCCTGGGAGCGGGTGGGCGTGGCCAGCTCAACGTCACACGCCTCCCGGGGGGGTGTCTCGCCTGGCCCCGCCCCTCCCAGCCGTCCTTCTCCCGCCCAGCCTCGACGTCACTCTCGCTCGGTAAAAATCTCTGATAGGGCGCCCTCCGGTGGCTCTTTTGGGCGTAGCAGGCTGAAAAGGGACTATTAAGACCATTCATAGTGCTGGGGAAACAAGTGGCGCCCTCCGGTGGCTCTTTTGGGCGTAGCAGGCTGAAAAGGGACTATTAAGACCATTCATAGTGCTGGGGAAGCAAGTGGCGCCCTCCGGTGGCTACTTTCTTGAACTACAGCTGTCAAAGTTTATATATAGAAGAAGTGCCTAAATCCGTGATGGGGAACCTATGGCCAAACTTACCTGCACTGCGCATGGGTGCGCCTCCAAATTGCAGGCAGCCGGCAGTGAGCAGGAGTGGCCTGCAGTACAGCACTCTAACTAGATAGATGGCAGATAGATAGATAGATAGATAGATAGATAGATAGATAGATAGATAGATAGATAGATAGATAGATAGATAGATGGGCTCCCTGCACTGAGAAAGTTAGCTTCTCAGGGAAACAGATTTTAAATTTGTCTTTCCGGTTCTTGCAACCTGCCTGCTTGTCAGTCCGACCTACCTTCTCGACACGTCATTCCTACGTATCCATGAAGACACACACAATGTCCGTTCTGGGCATCACAAACAGCGTTATCCAAGGAACAATTACAAGTCTGAGAACAATCTGGACCAAATTTTCCAAGCTGGCAACCTGGATTTAGCAGGAGGCATCGAAAGGGAAGGGTTAAATTCGTGGGCAAACCTGGCGTGGCTCATCTTCCCAATTTCTGATCTTAGAAGTGGCAGTACGGATCACCCACGATTCCCTAATCCAGCTGGCTGGACTTCTAAAGGGTCCCTTAGAGGGCATTTAGTCAGTCCCGGCCACTTCTGTTTTTAGACATTTTTCCGATAGATAATCACAGGTTTTTTTTTAAAATGTGTGTTAAACCTCAACAGAATCACAAGAGCTTTACAATAATACAATAAGTTGCAGATCTTCCCATTTATCCCACACAGTTTGCGATGAGTGGATCTGCTCTGAGTTTCTTGGCAAATCTGCAGAAAAATTTACTTTGGAAATCTGCATTTTCCCCCAAGCCTCTTGCTAAGCCAAAGAGAACAGAACAGAACAGAAGAATAGAATAGAATAGAATAGAATAGAATAGAATAGAATAGAATAGAATAGAATAGAATAGAATAGAAATACAGAATAGAATAGAATATAGAATAGAATAGAATAGAATAGAAAACACAACACAGAACACCAACAAGAATGGAATAGGGAAATAATATAGAATAGAATAGAATAGAATAGAATAGAATAGAGAATAGAGAATAGAGAATAGAGAATAGAATAGAAATAATTAGAATAGAATAGAACACAGAACACCAACAAGAATAGAATAGGGAGATAATAGAAGAATAGAATACAGAATATAGAATAGAATAGCAATAGAAATAGAATAGAAAATAGAATAGAAATAATTAGACTAGAATAGAATCCAGAAGGGACCATGGAGGTCTTCTAGTCCAGCCCCCTGCTCAAGCATTCCATTTCAGGCAAGTGGCTGCCCAGACTTTTGTTAAAAACCTCCAGTAATGAAGCACCCACACCTTCTGGTGGCAAGCTGTTCCAATGTTTAATTGTCCTCATTGCATTTTTATTTCATTCAATTGCAATTGTTCTCCATCGATCCATTTGCACACTCACCAAGGTCACACTTTGCTCCCGTTTTCCCCGGAGGGCAGAGACAACGGCCGGTGGAGGGCTCGCACGGGGCTTTGCTGCCGCAATCACACACCCGTTGGCATTTTTCTCCGTATCTCCCTGCGTCGCAGCCTGTAACCGAAAAGGTGACGCTGTTGTTCTGAGCCATTTTAATTCTTGCTGCTCCTGTTTGAAATGACTGCATCCCGCTTTCCGTACAAAAAGCCAGGGTTTAATTGGAAATAAAGCGCCCAAAAGCCATATTGAGAAAAAAAGAGAGAGGAAAAAAGCAGAAAGGAAGTAAAAATGCAGAATAACAGAGTGGGAAGGGACCAATGAGGTCTTCTAGTCCAACCCCCTTCTCAGGCAGGAAACCCCTAGACCATTTCAGACAAACCCTTACAGAAGGCAAAGCTACCTGAATCCTAAACGGATAGAATCGTAGAATTAAAATGCTAAAAAAAAATAAAAATAATAAACCCGTTCCTTTCTGCCTCCTGGTTGCCCGAAAGGCAGAACACAAAAGGAAGAGGAAAAAAAAAGTTATGGTCGGACTTAGTTTTGGGGGAAGAAAATAAGGGGGGGGGGGAATCTGCCTCTGCCTACCAGCATCCATCGGTATTCACCTGGCTAGCGTCCTGTCAGTGTGTGAGAGAGTGGAGGGCTGTTTGGAAACTGAAACCATATTTGCTGGAGATTTTGTGATGATGCATGAGGGGCATTTCGCTCTTATATAGAGATAGATAGATAGAAAACATAGAACAGAACAGAGCACAGCTGGAAGGGACCCTGGAGGTCTTCTAGTCCAACCCTCAGCTCAAGCAAGAGAATGTATACCATTTCAGACAGGGGGGGCTGTCCAGTCATTTTTTTTACAACCTCCAGGAATGAAAAAGGGAGGGCTTAACCAGGATTTAAGCATCACATCCTAGCTAACTTCGGGGATCGTCAAAGGGGCTGGAATTCTACGAACCTTTTTCGCAGTAGCGGCCGCGAAACCCCAGAGGACAGAAGCATTCCCCGGATCCCGGATCGCACGAGGCTCCGTTTTGGCAGCCGCATCGCTCTTGACAGGCGGCCCCGTGGAATCCATCCGGGCAGGCTGAAAAGGATGGGAATCGAAATTGGGGGTGGGTGAAGAAAATGATATTAAATTTGTAAAAATAAAAAAAATCTGGGGACAAAAGCGTTGCAGTCTTACCGTGTTCACACTGGTTCCCGTAACGGCCTTTCCTGCACCGACAGATCCCGGTGACCGGATCACAAATCCCATCGCTTTGGCAAGTGCAGTTCAGCTGACAGTTGGCCCCATATTTCCCCGGGGGGCACCCTGGTGGTGGTTGGGGGGGCGGGGGAGAGAATTCCCTTTTATATTACATATTAGAAAGTTTATTTCACAGATTCTCTCTCCCGCACTTTGCAATTCTGGTGGAATTCCGAAAGTTGAAATTCTTAAATAAGTTGCCAATGTTTTCATTTCAATCTCTATGGATTCTTGTCTCCTGGAGTTCTACTGGACATAGGAATAGCTTGGGTTTTAGATTTAGGCAGTGGTTTGAATCCTGCTTTAGGTCTCTATGGATTCCTGTCTCCTGGAGTTCCACTGAACAATCCACTTCCAAGCTCGTTTCCATTTAGTTCCCCAAATCTTTCCTTACCAGACAAGGTAACGTCATCAGTGGAATAGGAACCCCCCCCCTGCAAAAAAAAACCCTCACAGATGATATTATGTAGTCTGGTAAGGAAAGGTTCAGGAATTAAATAAGAAACAACCTTAGAGCGCAAACCACTGCCAAAGAGGAAGTGGATTGTCCGGCGGAACTCCAGGAGACAAGAATCCGTAAACCAGGATTCAAACCAAATCTAAAACCCAAGCTAAATATTTCTATGTCCAGTGGAACTCCAGGAGACAGGAATCCGTACAGATATAATTTGTCCCGTTCATCTTGGAGGTGGGAGGGGGCGGAATCACCTTCATCACACCGGATCCCGGTCCAGCCGAGCCCGCAGAGGCAGGTTCCATCTTCTGGCAGGCAGGCGGCCTGGTTTTGACAAGCGCACATCTGGCTGCAGTTCAACCCGTAACGATTGGCGGGGCAGCCTGTCGGAGAAGCGAACCGGGACAGGCTGAGCTTGAGACTCATGAGTTAAATGGGGGGGGGGAACTGCCGGAATCCTGACAGACATATTATGGGATGCAATCGATCCCCGCGCTCCCAAGTAAAACGAAAACCGAGCGGAGTTTTTTTTTTTTTTTGTTTTCGTGAGGGAATCCCGGGAGAGAGACTTACCTTCTTCGCACCTGGGACCGGACTTGCCCGGCGGACAGAGGCAGGATCCGGACTCCGGGTGACAAGGGACGTTTTCGCCACACGGACAGGGAAGGGCGCAGTCGGTCCCGTAACGACCCCTCGGACAAGCTGAGGAGAAAGGGTGTGGGGAAAGTCACAATGACCTCGAGGTGGCCCTGTCAAATGGCCACGGGAGCTCTCGAACCCCTGGCACACACCCCGTCTGTGGTTAGGAGCAGGTTTAAAGCAGACAAACTGGAGTTTAGGCCAACGCATTGCAGAAAGGCGACAAAATGAAATTATTATTATTTGTGGTGGTGTGCTGGGATTAGGGTCGTAAATCGTGAACGGTCCTTAAGCGATCCGCGACCACCCCCGATTCGATGCTTTCTATACGATTGTACGTTGGCTGTTCGCTAGAATAGAAGTCAAGAGCCGCCTTACCTACGTTACAATCGGCGCCGATATAGCCAGCCAGACACTGGCACGCCCCCGTTGTGGCCACGCAACGGCCGCCGTTCTTACACTGACACAACCTCTCGCAATTTGGCCCGTAGCGTCCCGACGGACACTCTGAAAAGGAGGACGCAAGCCGTGTGGCGGAAACAAACCGTTAGCCAGCAGAACAACCCGCCACATCATCTCCCTTTTCCTTCCGCCCTTCGAAACAGGGATGCTCTTTCAGATTCTGGATTGTGCAGGGGCTGGGCTGGATGACCTCGGAGGTGCCCCCCGGAAACATTACGATTCCACACCTTTCCACCACCACCACCCCAAAAAAAATCCCCAGTTATTGGAGGGTAATCAAAGTCAGGACTGTTGCCACATCGAATTAAAGAAAATGGTGCCAGCCTCAAAGGGTTTTAAATCAGGGATTAATTTAGGATATTAATTTAAGTTGAAACCGGCAATTAATACACGTATTTTTAAATGCAAAATGTATTTTTTTTTAAAAAGGATCTCTTTCCCAAACAAGCAACCCACCCAAATTCAACGAAATGCCATTTAAATTTGGCAGGAAAAATGGCAAAATTCAATGGATTTTCCCAACCTTGGGAGTTAAGAGTACAGACAATCCTCAATTTGCAACGATTCATTTAGTGACGGAAACGACAGGGCTGAAAAAAAGCCACTTGGGACCCTTTTTCACACTTACGACTGTCGTCGTATCCCTGTGGTCATGGGATTAAAATTCAGACACTTGGGAACCCGACTTGTATTTATGACGGTTGCAATGTTTCGGGGTCACGTTGAACAGATTAACAGAGTTGGAAGGGACCTTGGAGGTCATCTAGTCCAACCCCCCCTGCCCAAGTGGGAGACCCTACCCCATTTCTGACAAATGGCGGTCCGGTCTCTTCTTGGAAGCCTCCAGTGATCCCTTTTTGCAACCAAAGTCAAAGGGGATCCACTTAACGACCGTGCGGCTAATTTAACTGCAGCTGATTCACTGAACGGCGGCGGCAAGAAGAGTTGTAAAGTGAGGTCCAAATTCCCACAAATTTCACACTTAGCAACGTAAATTTCGGGTTCGGTTATGGTCGTTAAGTCGAGGATTCCTAAGTCCTTTGCAAGAAAGATTCCCCCTTTGATTTCCCCACCCCCCCAATTCCCTCCCGTTATTGCACCCCAAATTCCACACACACACACACACACACACCGTTTCCACACACATGTGTAAACTCACTCTGCTGGCAGCCGCTGCCATGGTATCCCGGGGCGCAGACGCACCTCCCACTCACCGGGTGGCAGTCGTGGTTCGTGCCAGCACACCGACAAATGTGCGCGCACCCCACTCCGAAGGTGCCAGGCGGGCAGGCTGTGGGAGGGAAGAGAATCCTGTTCGAACCCTTTTTCCGACTCTGGAACAAGGGTGCAAAAATAAATTGGCTTTTTGGGGGGCCTTTGCATCAGAAGGCAAATAAAAATAGACATTTTGGAGAATTTGTGTGGTTTGGTTTGTTTTTTTTCCCCCAGTCCAATCTTGACCACTTTTTAAGACCTGTGGACTACAAGTCCCATAAGTCTGGCTGGGGACTTCTGGGAGTTTGAAGGCCAGGAGTCTTGCTAATAAGACTGGACATTCCTGCCCTAACAGAATTCTATTTTTTTTTTTTCCCAATTCTAGTTCAGTTTGGTCTTTCCACCAAGCGGAACCCGCGCCGAGCAGATGACCTCTGAGGTCTGGATGACCTCTGAGGTCCCCTTCCTGCTAAAAAAACCCCTCTCTCTCTCTTTTTTCCCCGCCCCCCAGCAAAGGTGCTTGAAACATCTTGGTGCTTTGGCATCTCTTCGCCCACCAATGTGTTTTTTTCCCCCAACTTCTGAATAACGCGCCTGTGCAGAAGGCGTGTAACTTCTGAGTAACTTTTCGCACATGTCGCTTAACCTAATTTTCTGTGGGGGTTTTTTTTTTTTTTTGGTTAAATGTTAGCATGCACAGATGCTGTGCACGTCTCAGGATGCCTCTTGTAAGGGAGGAGGAGGAAGAAAGAGTAAATCAAAGTGGTTTTAACAGAATGGAGGGGAAAGGAACAGAGAAAAAAAACAGTGATGGATTTGAGCTGTCAATCACTGTCAATATTTTCCTGGTTGTTTATTTTATTTTATTTTTATTTTTTCCCCCCATTCAGCTGCCAGGCAGAAGTCAAGAGACTGCTGCCAATCTGAAAAGCTGAGGTTTTTTTAAAAGTATTATTATTATTAAATGAATCCTCCTGGATCAACTCCCAGACTGGCTTTCTCTTCCAAGCGATCGAGGCATTGCCAGAATTGTATTTTTTTTTGGGGGGGGGGGGGAGCCTCCGGACTTACGCCTTTCGCACCCGTGGCCCGTGAACCCGGGAAGACAGCCACACTGGCCGGTGATGTGGTCGCAGGGAGACCCCGTGGGACAGTCACACTGGCTGGTGCAGTTCTTCCCAAACGAACCGGGCAGGCAGGCTGGAGAGAGAGGGGGGAAAAATTGGATTTTGGCAGCCAGGAGATTGCAAAGAGGGGATTAAAAATAGGCAATATTCCTAATTGATTCTTGGTGTCTATGGGGGGTGGGTGGGGGGAAGAAGAAGGGAGTTTAATTGGAGAGATGTTCACCCTTCCCAATGACTGCTGGGAGTTGTAGTCCCATCCTCTCCCATCCAGGTTTGTTCGTTCATTCATGGTCTAGCTAGAATAGAGGTCTCCAACCTTCCTCAACTTTACGACTGGTGGACTTCAACTCCCAGAATTCCTCAGCCAGCATGGGAGTTGAAGTCCACAAGACTTTAAAAATGGCCAATTTAGCCTGGTCTAGGGTCCCCTGCTTGAGCTTGGGGGTGGGGTTGGACTAGAAGACCTCCCAGGTCCCTTCCAACTCTGTTATTCTGTATTTGTTTGCATTTGTTCGTTCTTTCGTTCATGCATTCAAACATTTAAACATTCAATCATTCATGCATTCGTTCATTCATT